GTGGAAGGCCATTAGGTCATTTAGTCACTTTGTTTGAATACTTTGTGCGGAGCTGGGTTGATGCGATGCGATAGACACGCGGTTTAGAGCGTCTACTAGAGTTAACTAACTAATTACGTGAACACGCGCTATTCCTTGCGTTCAATAAAACTGTAGCCCCAAGGAACTATGTGGCTTCTGTAAGCATAATCTCGTTTTCGTATCATTACCTCTAGTGATTGATATTAGTGTAACTGTAGCCGCTATCGAACTGACTATGCCCAACAGGAGCTGTATGATGGCTATCAATGGGGCAACTTCGTTTAGACGTTGCCTACGGATGATTCCTTGCCCGGGTATCAACCCCTACTAAACACTCGATACAGTGACAGTGGCTATCACTAACAGCGTCATGGTATGCTAGTACCATTCGAAAAACCTTCGAAGCAAGCCACAGAGCCCCTGAACCTGTCAATTAGAACTTCCGAAGTATAGCGCCGAGCAAAACTGCTATCAATTCATAGTTCAGCAGAAAACCAATTTCCGAGTCCTTCACAGCCCTAATTTTCCACACCAGACAGCTCGGCCCAAGCAGCTACTCTCGGTGTCTCCCTGGCATGAGAGCCAAGAAGACAATTCTTCAATTAGTGTCTATTACACCGCCATACCAGCTCTAACTAATAAAACCCAAGCGATTACTAAACGGGTTTTGCAAGTTAGATAGTGTTTCGTAAACATCAACAATATCACCGGCTAAAAATAGCCGGCATATTCGGGAGGATCCACAGCAGTACCAGAGGTCGTAGTTTCGGGGAACCATCGGGTCCCTAGGGCTCCGTGATAATTAATTTTCCGGATGCTCTATACCAGACGTCATTCCTTCCGATACATCCCCGGTAGACCGATGATGATTGACATAGCAGGTAGGAGGTGAATGCTCATCGTTACTGTAATTGATCGGTGTAGGGGAATCGTCGGTACTCGCTGTTAACAAGTTGAGCATACATCATGAGCTATCAATCGCAGTTATAGTAGTCAGAAAGAGGTATAAATACACTTCTAAAGACTCTTCATATCCTCATCATACAAACTACAACAATTACTTGATATCCAGTCTTCAAGTTCGTTCAAACCCTCTGCAACAATGCGTTTCACCCTCTTTGCCGCTCTCGCCTTTGTTGGCGCTGCTCTTGCTACTCCTCAGGCTAAGGTTCATCTACATTCTTTCGATATCTTGATTTTATCGTTGTATACATACTAATCGATATTAGATCGCCACCGGCCAACCCTGCAAGGCAGATGGAAGCATGGGAGTCTGCGATAGTGGTCTTTGCGTGGTATGTCACACACTGCTCAACATTCATAGACTACGGTCAATCCTTGGAACCAGTAACTAATCAACATACGGGAATAGCAAACTCCCGACCAGACCCAGGGTGTGTGTCAGTAAGCTTCGGTGAAGGAGTAACTCCAAGTATCACTCGGACAAATTAAACAATGCCCTATTCGGTGTATTTAGATTTCATGGTCATTAGTTGTTGTTGATTGGCCATGCCGCTCATTTGAATTAGAACCAGATCTTGTGTGCTTATTACCTTTCTTTTTTGTGTGTTTATTTTAGTAAGATCTTGCATATAGGTAGACCGTGTAGGGGGAATTGTCTGTGGAGTCGAGATGTCAGATTGCGCTATCATATAGATTTCATGGAAGAGGGGTGGGAAATGCGGGTTATACTGTGTTTGTACAGAGTGGGATTGAGTGTTACGGCCTGACGACGATATAAATATAAAATGCCTAGCACTACTCTCGAGAATGTAATTGATTTGTGTACGATGTTAAGGTTCAGAAAGTAGTAAGTATGTACAAGTTGATATGTATCTTAAAGAGATATGGTATCTGGTATAGAATTACAAATAAAGGAACTACGTGATTCTAACAGATCCAGCTCATGCAGAACTAAACGGTATATCAGCTCCGCCGCCCAGGAAGAAAGTTGAATCACCATAAGATAGTTCCAACATAGGAAACGATGGATCAAAAGAATGATTGTCCAAGCCTGCCAAGATACCCGAACTCCAGGTAGTGCTTGTGTTCAACCAGTGGGGCGAGTTGGAGTTATGAATTACATCCTGAGAAGAGGTCCCCTGTTGAGAGGGACTTGTCTGGGTAGCGCCTTGGTTGGTGAGCGCGGTAGAACTTTCTTCATTGAGAAAGCGTTGAGAAAGCGAGACAAATTCCTGGAAGAGTTTTTGCAGATTGGCAATGTGCTCGCTGGCTGTTCCGCTCTGGGTCAAGCAGTCCGCGACTGTTTTCAAAAGGTTGAAATCGCCTATGTGAGAGGTAACGACGGTATTACAGAATAGCACAAAGACTGCTGTCAGGGGGTAGTACAGAAGGGTCCTAGAAGTTGTTAATATGTCGTCTTCTAGGTTTGTAAAAAGTTATCACTGACCAATGTAGGAAGGCGACGGTACTTTGTTTGTTGGCTGATAGGCATATTGATACCAAGGCTGATAGCTCCTGACGTGCTGAATCGAGGTAAAGATCTTTTGCAGTAAGGGTCTGCCCTGGGGTAAGTTGAATTAGATGAAGAATAGTCGTCATGATTGAATGATAGGCAAAATCGAGCGCTGCGATTTCGCTGTGGCTATCTAAGCCTTTCCAACGATCAGAGAGCGGTGTAATCTATGAAACAGAATCTTGTAGTCAGCATCTACTCAATTCAAATTTGGCTGGGATGATGATTTACCTCGTCTATCCTGCTGCGGATATCCTTCATCCTCGGCAGTAATTGCTCTCTTAAGTTAGTCACTGGCGGGACACCATGCTCGCCTTCTCCTAATGAATCCTTAATGAAAGGGATTATTCCGTCCTGTATCTGGGCCAAATCCAAATATACTAGGAGAAGCTCGGAGATTGGTGGAGTCAGTCTGGTAGAAGCGTGTAAGATCCCTCCAGGGGTGGCTTCCAGAAAACCCTTGGATCGTCCAAGCTTCCAAGCATAATTTCTGTCCAGCATATAGCACCATATAAAGCAGAAAAACTCCTCCTCACTGAGCACCCGTCCATTTGCAGCACTGGTGTTGAGGCCAATATCGGTGCAAATCCTGCAGGCAGTTCTAGTCAACTCCCAACAGAAATTAGTATCTCCCGAACCCTGAAATAGGAAGATCTAGAAAGTGTTAAAACTGAAACATGCAAGAGTCTCCATATAACTCACCCCACAAAGCACCGCCTGTAGAAGTGCAAGAGATGGTGTAGTTACGAGTGGGATTTTTCTTAATGCTGCCTGCGCTGTTGCTCGGTACTGTAACGCACTATGCCACAGTCTTTGGGACAGTTCACCATGCTCTTCTATCATAAGTGCTGTGGTAAGAAATTTGTATGCTATAGAATTAACGCAGATGGTGTAGAGGATCGTATCGGATGGCGATGCATCTTTGCGTAGCAGGGACATCCCCATCTCCTCAAGACTGTGCTTGGATACGTGCCGGAAGTAGTCCCGAACGTAAGGTCCGAAACGATCAGTGCCAATGTCTAGTTGTTCGGACGACCTATAAGTCAGCGACTGCCACATGACAGAAGCCAATGGAGAAGGTTTTATTACCTTTAAGCATCCATGTTAGAAATTCAGGGGCCGGGATTTTGCCTTGCTCTTCACTCTGGTCGTCGATATTAGGCGGTATCCTAAACCCTCCCATACCTTCTGTAAATTGACTTGCAGCGAATAGTGCAGACTCGAGCACCTGCAGTCTGTTCCAAGCAAGCCCCGGAACTCGACTCAGCCGGTGGCGGCTTGCCATCTGCGCATCTGTAAGGGGGATGATGGAAATCCAATTATGGAGTTCATATGCGACGTGTGGACGATTGGCCAATATAGGCCCGACTTCCGGCATCTCCAGCGGTAAGCTATCGTTATCCATCTCAGAAGGAAGTGAATATGTATCAATTTGCCGATCCAGTAGACCACGGAGCGAGCCCAGCTCAGGCACCGGGTGGGTGGAAGTCCGAGAAGATTTGGTTGCATTACTAGGCCTGTCACTTTGACAGGAGACCTTTCTCATGGTACGTCTCAAACTCCGGTGGCGAGTACATGGAGTTCCTTGATCCTGGCAATTTCCGCAAGGGTTCTTCCTGTCACATCGGACCTAGACAGAAGATAAGCCAACGACGAACGTTGGACGGACAACAAATTTTTTTTTCAGCTCTTACCTTGCGGGAGTGGCAGTTGTCGCACTGGTCGAACGTGTTAGCATGCAGCAAGATTCAAAACTACCTCGGAATATCGTACCACCTGGTGCGACGTGGACCGTCGTTTCTCAACCAACGGAGGTTCCATATTAACCATTAATATACAGTAGAATAGTAAGTATCGGACAGCGTAAAGAAGACTCTTCACTTAAATGGGAACAAATCTAGGTTTTTCAACTTCCGTCAAGGCCAGAGGAAAGTACCGAGATGGCGCCGTCTGAAGCATGCCAAGCCGCTGGTTTGTATGGAGTAGGCTCGAATCCACAAATGGCTGAGCGAGACCCAGTCTTGGCAATGGAGTATTAATAGCATGCACGTCTTGACATTTATATGCTGCCTGGTAGGGCTTATCCGATCTTTTTTCCAGGGGCTTTTAAATCTGGCAGCGTCTGCGCCACGAGAACGTGGCGATGCAGACGATACTCTGCCAATTGGGTCGCTCGGAGCCAAAATTTTAAGTATGGGACGTTCCCCGTACCTAAACTTTGATCCTATTTTTACTCCCAGTATTTTTAAGGGTCTACTTTAGAAGGATTAAACGTTAGAAGCAGGTTCTAGCTTCTACAACACGGCAAAGCTGTCTTTGCGGACATAAGTACGATAGAGTTCTTGCCCTAGTGAGTTAGTTGTATAATTCTAAAATCAGAACTATAGCATATCAACAAGGATTGCGAACACCAAGTTTATTACAATAATTTTCTTCCTTTTAAAGGTGCGTACACCAAAGAAGCAGAGAGAATGAAAAAGGAAATATAAGTGGGAAGCAAAAATAGTCGCGCCCGGGATCGAACCGGGAACCTTGTCGGTACTACAAGAAGTTGTAGCTACAAGCTCACAAGTGTGAACGACAAATCATAACCATTAGAACACGCGACTTGATTGGTTGTTATTGTTTCTCTTTTCAATTATATTCCAAAAATGTGAATTAGAAGAATGTATTCATCACCATGGCATAGCCCTAAAGCACTAGAGGGACTTCATGGGACCTCGGCGGCTGACAATCTGAGTGCCTGATAGGCTATAATGTAGTTAGAATCTATTTCGATGAAGCGAGATAGACCACCCAAGGTTAGCTGTGACCAGCACATAAGCGAGAAGATACGGTCAAGGAAACCAACTATCTATATATCCGAATATAGTAGACCTAAACAGGGCAAAAAGGAACCAATCAGAGGCTTGAACCTTTGAGCCTGGAGCCTTCTGACAATGGATTACATTGTATGGCCAAGCCAGTCTTGTTGGGCGAAATAAAGGTAGCCAGAAGGGTAGTTGCTCATGGAATGACTGAGATGCTTATCAATCAGGATCCAGCAGTGATAGCAAGTATATGTCATTTTGGCAAAGAGAATAAAAGAGAGAGATGTATAGTAGCACAACTCGAGACAGAGAAGGACTAGATGAAGCAAAATAGCAAATCCACCAAGCAAAACCGTTGGCCCACCATTGACAACCGGGCCCATACATGGAATGATAGAAATTTGGAATACACAACATGCCTCGCTATCCGAGGCACACATGAACGCATCCTCCGCGGCAGTCTGTCAAATCATTCGAGATTTGTAGTGAAAACCAATGGGCTTGGCGAAACAATGAAACGCAAATACCGTTGAGCCCCATTTCTGAGTGACTGGTGCGGTTAAGCATAGGTCACGATATCCCAGTGTTGCATAAAAGACGCTTGGTTTGTGTCTATGGCACCGGGATACAGAACACATGTGCGAGAACTGCCACCAGACCTCGACAAATGTGCCCATCTACATGCTGAATAGCTTGAACAGAAACTCATGCACCCCCAGGCGGACGTGACTTTTTTACGAGTAATTTCCTTGCCATAGTTTGCGTGGGGATCTGAAGAAATATAAGTATGGGCTCAATATCAATGCTTCTGGCTTAATCGACATACACTTTTGTTGATAGACGCCCCAATTCCTTCCCTTGATTAAACCAGCTACCCCGTTTCATTAGTAGATGACAAAGAACAGAAAGGAATCATTGATCATCACGTACTACTAGCCTGGGAAAGCTCATCTTGCAAAGTGTTTCTCTGCTTCGTCAGGTCGGTGTTCGTTCTTGTCAAATCGTTGATCTTCTTTGCTGAATCTGCATCCTTTTCTCTCCAAGTCTCAATGTCATTCTCCAGAGTCTGGACTTTCCCGAGACACTCAGCCAAAAAGACAGAGCAGCGATCAGGCTGGTCCTTTCGAACAGTCATATAGACGGACCCAGGGACCACGGTGCATGGTGAAGTTTCTCCATCTGATTCTACCAAGAAGTCCTGGTCGCTCCACCAGCACGTCCCGTCTTTACTCTTCCAGAATGTGCCTTTGCAAGTCTCGATGTCAGTACATGCAAGAGCACAGTCTTCGATCGATTGTGCGTCTGCAACTTTATCGTTCCAGTGTTGAGGCTGTCTATTGCAGTAGTATTGCGCGAAAGTTCCCGGAGCAATTTCAACCTCGGTGTCGGTGGGACTCAGGCAGACTTTTTGATACTCTTGGTCACCTAACGGGTCTGGGTCCGTCAAAGGTACTTGACCAGAATCCGCCCCGGCAGCGGTGCCTTGGGCATAGGCAACTGAAAGAAGCGGCAAAGCGATAAGAAACTTCATTTTGATCAAGACTAACGAGGTATTGAAGAGGCTGTCTATAGTCCAACACGAATCGATAGCCAGGATCTCTTTAACTAAGTCAGCTTGGAGCCTGAAGCAGTATTCATATCCTTTATTTTACTTGGAATTGACAGACTTTAGACAGGATATATTGTGTCGTCATCTACAGCCGTGAGCCAGATCTCCGGAGAGGTGCATCGATTGGCATAATACTACACTTCAATACTACTGTCACTACTGTCTCGGAGTAAAAGCTACTCTATATTCCGTCATAGTCAATCCTAACCACCAGATTGGATTGACATTTACATCACATATCAACATGGTGGGCCCGTCAATCTCGAGGATTCCAGTCACTTTAGGTTTTCTTTTTGCAAGATCATTGACCTGTATGTCGAAATGATATTCAAAACGTCCAGTCATCGCGTCATTTCCTTACAGTTCGAGTTGAAGCCGGTGTCATCCCTGGACACGCCCGCATTATTTGCTGAAAGTTACAGAAGAGACACTGACGCACTGTTAGGATTTCTCAATGTCACTGAAAAATGGAATCCAAATGTGGAATTTCAAGAATGTGGATCCGGATGCTCCTGAAAAACAGTAAAAGAATTCAGTTCAATCCCCAAGTCTTTTTTTCCCCCTCTCTAATACCAAAGTAAGCCCCAAACCTACGCAGCTCCCACTACTCAGTGAAGGTGTACAATAGCTGTATCACGGACTAAAAGAAATGAAAATAGAAATATAGTCCCGACTGGTAATCTAACGAACTATTCTATGGAAGAAAAACGAAGTTTCAGAACCCAGCCGAGACGTACATGACAGGATCTGTGGGCCGTCAATAAACTATAGCGTTGAAGACATGCTACCCAGTATGCACTGTCTAGTTCTTTGGATAGCGGCTCAGCATGGATGCCTGTTTTCGATTAAAACCAGCGAATTGATTGTTGGAAGTTTCGGAGCGTACCCCATAACGGTTAGCTGTCATATTACCTAGTACCGGATGCGTATATGGCGTTTTGCCTCCATTCCTGGAAAAGATTTTCCACAGGATGGAAGCTATGATTTATGGGATGAGTGCATACTTGATTCACAGCCTGAGAAATGTCTGGACATTTGCCGTTGGCAGCCTGGTGGCCATACGCACCAAGTGTATGTATACACCGTGGCGGATGGGAGCAAAGAGCATTCGTTATTCATAACCCACTACCCATGGCCACACGAATACATTCTCAACATACACCTAGTTATGGCCCGAGGCAGCCTGCCTAGAGACGGATAGATAAGGATATCTCTGCAAAAAAGATCATTCGTGAAATGGCAAAAATAGTCGCGCCCGGGATCGAACCGGGAACCTTGTCGGTACTACTGAAGTAGCTACTAGCTCACATAGTTGTGAACGACAAATCATAACCATTAGAACACGCGACTTCTTATGGGGAATTTTTCCTAAAAAGCAGAATATATGCAATTAGTCCTGATACACTTCATTACCAGCCTATCCACTCTGTGCGCTTGACGTATGACAGTATCTGCCCTAATTCATTGCCTTCTACCTTACACAAAGCTATCATCTTGATATGTGGCTTAATTAAGTCTGCTATCACTTTTGCATTCATATCAAGATGAAGTACGACGAGGATGCCTCGCCTACTCTTTCCCACTAGTTTCAACCTGTCATAGTATGGAAGCCGAGGTATATATTACAGCCTTGTCTACTTCTTATTCTAAAATAGGTAATATAAACATAAATGTGAAGATTTATGATCTTGTCTGCATACCGCCCCCTTAATCCTGCTTGCGGCAGAGCTTGCCGGTCTGGTAGGTCAGCCAGTCAGGGACGTCAGTGATATACCAGTCCTCGCTGCCGACGGCAGTCGGAGCCCAAAAGGTGTCCCAGGGGTCGACCTGGGCCTTGATCTGGAGGAGACGGTCATAGTTGGCGCCATAGAAAGCCTGGCCGAAGTTCGGCTCCATGACGTCCCCCTCGTTCAGGTAGCTGCCGCTTCCCGGGGTAACGTCGCGCAGGCGCTGCATGATGTCGTCAGTGAGCTTCTCGTTGGCGGCCTTGAGCTCGTCCTCGGAGATGCCGTCGGCCCAAGACACGCCGAAGATACCGAAAAAGACGGTGTCGCGCCAGGCCGGAAGGACGGCGCTGTCCGGGGTGTCGGGAACAGCGGCGCCGTTCATATTGTACTGAATGAGGCGGGATCCGTCCTCTATAATACCGCGGAGGATGTCCATCGTCTTGTTGAGCAGCGCCTCATCCTCCCAGGTCTTGCGCGGGAAGAGGCGGCTGCCAGTGTGGAGGTTGGTGTTGGCGACAGTCTCTGTGGGGAAGTGACTCGACCACGTGTCGTAGAAGTTGTCATGCTCGAAATACGCGGCTGTGAAGTCGAATCCCATCTCTGTCCACTCGTCAAAGATGCCGGCCACCATGTCCTTAAAGTCGTCCAGCTCCATGCCAGGAACCAGCCAGGGCAGCATGTCCCAGGCGTAGCCGGCGCCGGTGCCGCGGCTGTAGATCTTCGAGTAGCCGTAGCTGCCCTGATCGGCCCATCCAGGAAAGCGGCGCCAGTAGGCGTAGAGTGCCTCGAAGAAGAGGTCGTCGGTGTTGTTGGTGTCTGGCCCGGAGGTGATATTCCAGGTGACACCGCTGAAGTTGAGCTTGGGGTGGACCTTGAAGGTCACGCTAGTGACGACGCCCCAGGTGGCGCCGCCGCCGCCACGGATGGCCCAGAAGAGGTCCTGATTCTGTTGGGCGTTGGCGGTGACATATCTGCCACTGGGCAGGACCACATCGATGGAGAGAACGTGGTCGGCGGCCATGCCGTACTTGCCAGTCAGAGGTGAGTGGCCACCGCCGGTGAAGTAGCCGCCCGCGACACCGACGCCCTTGCACTCGCCGCCGACTGCGGTGACGCCGTGTTTGTCCGCGAAGGCATAGAGCTCGCCGACATTGACACCGGCGCCGACCTTGACCGCGGGACCGCTGTAGTTAGAGGACCGGTCGGAGTATTGCTCGACGAACTGGAGGTCTTTGAGGTGGTGCGTCCAGATGGATAGAGCACCGTAGCCGATAGACTTGCCGAGGAAGTCGTGGCCAGTGTTCCTGACAACGAGGCGCACATTGGTGGAGCGGGCGAAGTTGATGGCGAGCTGGATCTGGGCGACACTGGAGATGTTGACGGAATAGGTAGGGTAGCCGCCAATCTCGCAGGTCGCGCCGCTCACGTTGGCATTCTGGGGCAAGCAGGTGAGGCCTTGGTAC